AAGGACTTATGGAGCGGCTGAAGGCCAACTCCCGCCTGACGGATACGATTTTAGTCTGAGGGCACTGCTAGGGGTTCGAACCTCGGCTCAGGCCGTCGTAATATCGGTCCCCGTTTGAATTGGACGGGGGATCGATCGGAGGGGTTCTTCACTAGGGTTTTTCGATATATATACTAGCAGATCCGGCCATAGTCGATCCGATAAAGATCGCTGCAAGGCTTTGGATGCGAGCAGCGCAGGACCGATCGTCGTGGAGATCTTTGGGAGAGGAATTTCCTTATATTTTATCACCGTTTAAATCTTACCTGGACTTCCACGAATATTTCAAGACTAAAATTACCCAAATTGGTTTGGCTGTTCTCGAGTTTTAGCGAGACTAACGAACAACAATTCATATATATATATATAACTCTACATTTTTTATTTTTAAATATTATAATGCATTTTCAAGTGGCTCCACTGAAAATCAGCGCTGCAGTGAGACTCCGGCAACAGCTGAGTGGAGGCCCTTTCAGCTCATAGAGAAATATTAGTTTTTAAGTTTTCTACATTTTACTCTGTACTATGATGATGAATATATGATTATTATTATTATTATTACTCTATGATAATATAGCTATATTATTTCCTTTGTTTAGATGAAATTTTTTTTTTGGTTATTTTTTTTTTCTTGCTACTCCCTGAAACTGCTGTACCGATTCTGTCGAGACTTTCACTCGCAGATACCTTAACTTGTAAGAAATAACTTAGGCCAATTTGTTTTAGACATTTTATTATTTGTAATAAAAAAAAGAAGTATGACATAATGCTATGAAAATAGCTAAAATACACGAGTTTAGCCGTTGGCACGTCTGTTAATTGTCTAATTCTTCTTACCGCATAAGCGGCAGAACTAAGTCTATTCGCCAATTTAGAAATATGAGCACCCCATTGCAGTTTGGAGTCTAATGTGATACCAAGGAATACAGTACATCATATCATAATATACATAGGTGGTAAATATTACAGCAAATGTCAATTGTATCATAAGAGATAGAGAATTAACTTCCTTTTTTAATTGTGAGTCTTTTAAAAAATAAGCTTTTTAAAAATTTACTTTATTACTATTATTTTTACCTGACGGCCTCGGCGGTCTAGCGGTTTAGCACACCGCCTTACTACCGATGGTCGCGGGTTCGATTCCTCGCACGGCACAAACATTTGTATTCATGAGTATGATTGTTTGTATCGGTCTGGGTGTTTTCTATGTTATGTATTTGTATCAGTTGTCTAGTACCCATAACACAAGCTTTAGCTAGCTTAACTTGGGTCTAGATGGCGCTGTGTGAATTGTCCTAAGTTTATTATTATTATTACTAAAACTACTCGTACGTTCGTGGCCTATGCTATAAAATATGTTATTACTTGTATTACATACTACATAGATAGACTAGTGGCTCTCTATATACTTTGGAATAATTAGAATTAGGCAAAAAAATAGTTGCTAGCTCTTTTAGTAATTTGTTAACAATGAGTTTAGAATTTCGCCAAAGAAATAGAAATAATCTTTTTCAAATAAACTCATTACAAGCACTTTTGAAAAGTCATATTTTGATTCTACCACTCATTCGGAATGCAGATTCATCACAAGAATGAGTAAGAAACTTGTGTGTTGCTCTTTTGAATAGATTGATCATTTTTATATTATAATTACATTATAGCAAGTACGAGACATGCGATAATCAACATAGAAATCGCATTCATTATTAGTGTAATCAGATAATATTGTCAGTGCTATGGATTTTTAGTTTTTCTATAAAAACATTATTTACGTTAACGAATTCTTCAATTTTATAGTAAGCTTTTTTGAAAAGGAAGTATTTTATATGACATTTAAATATTTTTTCAGGCAGATTTATAACAGACTCTGGTATTTTGTTGTAAAATATTATGCAATTGCCATAAAACGAATTACTAAGTTACTAGTTAAACGACATTTAGGTAAAATCAGTTTGTTATTGAATAATAAGCATTTTGAGAATTAATTCTGTGTAAAAAGTTAAATTACTTTACATACACGTTTGTACCAATATATAATAGAATATGATATATATATAAACAAAAGAAACAACAGTCAAGAATTAAATTCGGCACTACAAGAAAAATAATTGGTTTTTCCTAAGAGGTTGGGAAATTCCTGCATTTTTATGCGGTTACATCGCGACTACTGTACACCAATTACCTTGAACTGACTTGTTCTATTACATATATACTATCTGTGCATTAACATATATATACTAGACTACGACTCTGTTATTTGATATATCATGAGAATAAAGAGTAATTTATAGTATACTCCTGGAGTATACTATAAATTACTCTTTATTTATATATATGGAGTATTACTCCATTACAAACTCTAAACGTATGTAGTACAGAAGGGATTTTCATTAAACTGTATGGGAATGTAGGAACTGGTCTGCTCTTATCACTACAACTGATTTTGGACTTTGTTTTGGCAGGTAGCTGATGTATAAACGAGTAACTTAGACTACTTTTACTTTAGGAAACTAAAGTTAAATTCCTAGCGGACGAAGTCGCGGGTACAGCTAGTACCTGATAAATATTTACAGCAATTATTTAAGAATTTGCTTTTTTTGTTAAATTTAGCACAGAAATCCAGCGTTGCATATAAATGGCCCGAAGCAATTGTATTAATCGAGACAATTTTTTAATTGCCCCTCTTATAATCAGGGAATGGGCCCCACTTTGAAAAACACTGGACTTGAATATACAATTCCAACATTCTAGGATAGCTTGTGTCCGTGTATGTGTATGTATGGTTTGATACAAGAATCAATCCCATTGATTATCAAAGAAGACTATTTAAATCTAATACTAATTACTTGATAAATTAATATAAATGATTTAATATATTATTATGTTAAATTCAGCCCATTGAAATCTAGCGTTGCATTTAAATGGAATTTAACTTTATTTTTCATTAAATAAAAGAATTTTTCTAAATAAAAGTAGCCTAAGTTACTCCTTATTACATTATTTGAATTAAAAAGAATATACCGAAAGAGTTGAACTTTATTGTAGTTACAGTTTAGGCAAACCTGTACAAATAAATGATTTTGACTCTGACACTAATCGAATATAATATATAATCTTTCAATTACCTAAAATTAATTACATTAATACAAAAAAAAACAGATAAAAGAAAACCTAAAAAGTTAATTGCTATGATAAATTAATATTGTAATATATTATTATCTAATAACGCTCGCAGCATTTCCACGTTGAATTGCTAACCCTTTATTATTCATTAAATAAAAGAATTTTCATGGCCTAAATAAAACCGCCCCAACTCGTTTATAAATACTTTTGCCTCCGCCCCCCACACCCCTGTAGTATTAAAAAGATATATACTTATTCATTTACGTATGTATATAACTATAATATCATATAACATATATATATGTATTTATTTCGATAATTTAGCATCCCCTCCAGAGGAACACATTAAGCAATTAAAACTTTAGCCGTATTAAATCACGGCTGAAGTACTAGATAATATATTTATAATAAAAAAAAAATAAAGAAAAAAATGCGATAATAAAAACAGTAGAGAAACAAATAAAATTATTAAAAAAAACTCCTTATTACATCAGCTACATGCCAAAAAAAAAGTCCCAACAAAATCTGTCCAGCCATTTCAGAGATTACCCGGAACAAACAGGTATACAGACAAAAATTGTAAAAAATGTTATTTTGGTGTATGTACCGTATTTATATTCATATGCATGTAGTAAAAAACGGTTATTTCAATATTACAAACAGACACTCCAATTTTATTTATATGTATAGATAATTTAATGAACAGAACTCACTGTTTTAAACCTGTGAGTGGTTATTTATTGTAATAATGACGAGTCTTTTACAGGACTTTATGAGAGAGGTATATAAGTTTTAAATGTTTGTATTTATAATTTAATTGGCTTGATGGCGTCGGTGGACTATATAGCGGCTTACTTCCGAAGGATACGGGTTCGATTATATTATCGTATGATACATAGTATTCAAAAGTATATGATACTTATGAATACTAAAGTTTTTAAAAAAACCAACAAAAGCTGAGAAAATTCGACAATAGTGTAAATAATAATAATAAAGTTCTTGGAAATAGATGAAAATGACATAAGATCAATTATTTTTTAAATATAATTTGTTGCATTTTGTTTACGTTTATCATTTTGCACCGCTAACAATTATTCTCTGCACCACCCATTATATATATTCTACCGCTTATTCGGAATGCAGATTCATCACAAGAAGAATAAGCAAGAAACTTGTGTGTTGCTCTTTTAAATAAATATTGATTTACTTACATTTAATTAACAACAAGGATTAGGCATGCGACAATCAACATAGAAACCGCTACGCACTTAATCTCTGTTCAATCAGATAACATTGTCAGCGCTATGAATTTTAAGTTAGATATTATTACTACAAAAACATTATTATCATTTATAAATTCTTCAATTTTATAATAAGGATACGAACTGTCTAAATTGTTATAGTTTATAATTATTATAATTTGTTCCATGTTTTTGAAAAATGTAGAACTTTGAAATATGACTCTACATTTTTGTCGCACTATGCAATAGGTATCTGATCTGGTTGATAATCCCCTCCGATTGATCTCCAATCCAATTCAAACGGGGACATTACGATGGCCTAAGACGAGGTTCGAACCCCCAGCGGTGCTATCAGACTAAAGTCATCCGTCAGGCGGGAGTTGGCCTTCAGCCGCTCCATAAGTCCTTCCTTAGTTTGGAGTGGCATCTGCACTCGTCCCCTATCGTCCAGTAAAGCTGTATAGGCCAGCTGCGGCCAACAGCATTAGTGTAGTCCGATGAAAAATCTAGTTAGTATCCAATTTTAATCATTTATTTTACATTCTACTTCTCTATTATATTACTTGAACTGTCCATAAATTATATTACAATACTTACTCAGTGCTGTTGATATCCATGGTTTTAAATCCTTCATTACGCTTCCACAACTCTACGGCAACTCTGGTGTTTCAACGCCGCCAGAGATGTGGTAGAATACTAACGTGAGCTCGTGCACCATCATTACAATACTGTCTCATAGCGTACTCGTAGATACCCCGTGTGTTCATTTTAGTAAGTGAAACTAAAACTATTGCAACATTTATACTTGTCATTTTATAAAAACTGGTCAAAGAACTTCATTTATATAAATAATTATAGAATATAAACAACCAATTAATTTATATAAACATAGAAATAATTATCCACAGTACATAAATTTAATAAGAAAGAAAGAAAGTTTATTTGATACTCATGACAAGAACAAAAATAATTTTTAAATTACATATTCGATTGCTTTTGTACCACTCACACAACTTTATAAACACAACACTTTCTAAATCTGAATAAAATCAACGAGAAGTCAGTGAAATATTATAATTTATTACAATTTATTTACAGTAACTGTGATATGGAAAACAATTATTTTAAACAAATATTGTTTGTTGAGTTACAACTACAGGATGTTCTGTATCTAATCATGTACAGAATATGTACAATTATAAAGTATTTTACGAGACGTGTGCAAAAAAACCGCGTGCACCCGGTTATTCCTACTGTGTTCCTAGTATGAATCAAATTAAAAATGAATCTGTGTTACTGTATACATGTACAACATTTAGTTGAAAAGAATACGAGCTGAGTTTCTTGTCAGTTCTTCTCATCTCGAAATCATTGCGAACTGACGGTAGATTTGACATATCATAAGAGTCTGTAATAGACCTACATGAATAAAGATATTTTGATAATATAATTATTTGGGTATGATTTCTGGAGAGAAAAGCACAGTAATTTTAATTAGTGGTTTTGTTATTTACCTAAATTTGTTTTTAAATTGAACTATGAAGAACTATAAAAGTATGAAGTATTTTTATTTTTTATTTGAAATTTATGCTATAACTAGTGCTGTTCCTTCGCGAATTCTGTTACAAATATATCCATAAGTATCTTATATATATATATAACAACATATAATCTAGTGTTTTGAGTAGTCATGCTCACTAAAATGTCCAGACATGTGGCGGCGTGGTGGGCCGGGTCATTGGGCTCCCTAAAATATGGTCGAGCGCAGTGATGGCTGGCTCATCCGTCATACTCGTGAACGGGTGCTGCTTGTAGGGACTGGTCTGCTCTAATCACTATGACTGATTTCCTCTTATTAATTGTTTAACCAGTTGGTTATATATTCAATATTTTGAATATATAACCAACTGTTTGAGTATTTAATTGAATTAGTGCTAATTGGTGGTTTGTATTCACACACTTAAACTTAAAAATGTAAAGTAATAATAAAATTATTTAAAAAAGCAACACGCAAGTTTCTTGCTCATTCTTCTTGTGATGAGACAGCTTTCCGAACGAGCGGTAGATTAAAAAAAATGTAATGACTATTCAAAAGTGCTTCAATGTAAGTTTATTTGAATAAATGATTTTCTATTCTATTCTATTCTATAGGTATCCTAGGTCGCCAGAAAGCGTTGGATGCGAGCAACGCAACGCAACCCAATAAGTCTTGCTATCAACGATAGCCAGACTTATGTACAGTAATAATAATAATAATAATAATAATCTCAGGACAATTCACACAACGCCATCTAGACCCAAGTTAAGCTACCTAAAGCTTGTGTTATGGGTACTAGATAACCCATACAAGTACATAGATATTTTTTTCGTAAATACATACATATTATACATAGAAAACACCCAGACCGATACAAACAATCATACTCATGAATACAAATGTTTGTGCCGTGCGAGGAATCGAACTCGCGACCATCGGACGTAAAGCGGTGTGCTAGACCGCTAGACCACCGAGGTCGTCAGTACCACAGTCACCACAGTATATAATATCCATTAGATATCATAATGACTAGTGTTATCAACGTAGTCCCATAGTAACAATGGCCGTCTGTTCGCTCAATCTCAGGATCGAGTTCATACACCCGAACTGTATCTAAGATATGCGGCAATTAATTGATATTGAACGATGATAATAAAGTATTGGAGCCGTGTGCAAACGTAATTGTTAATGGGAAGATATCTGGCGACACCAAATTAATAATTTAATTTTACGGGCAAAACACAAAATAATTATAAATGCGAAAGTTTGTGAGTATGGATGTTTGTTACTCTTCCACGCAAAAACTACTGAACGGATTTTGACGAAACTTTACAATAATATAGCTTATACATTAGAATAACATATCATTACATAGAAAATCCAAAGGACGGATTTTGATGAAACTTTACAGTAATATAGCTTATACACTAGAATAACATATCATTACATACTTTAAAATAAAGTCGCAGTCGCTGTTTGTCCCTATGCATGCTTAAATCTTTAAAACTACGCAACGGATTTTGAAACGGTTTTTTTTATAGATACAGTGATTCAAGACGAAGGTAAAATATGATACATGTACACCCGTGCGAAGCCGGGGTAAGTAACTAGTAATATTATAAACTTGAAAGTTTGTGACTATCGATGTTTGTTGCTCTTTCACGCAAAAACTACTGAACGGATTTTGATGAAACTTTAAAGTAATACCTATAGCTTAAACATCAGAACAACACATAGACTATATTTTTTACTCAAATTTATCGCAGGTGAAACCGCGTGCACAGCTAGTATATAAGCAAAAATATGACAGGCAATCTTAAAAAAAAGTGCAAGAATTAATTGGTGTCTGTTTGAGCAGTTCTGCGGGGACAAAGATCTGAAAAGGGATGAAGAATAATGAAGCTGAGGTATATAATGTGTCTGATGAGTGAGAGGTGCTGAGGGTTTTAATAACGAAAATACAGAGATAAAATAAAATACAACCAAAATGACAGCGATATATAATAGAACTAGCTGTTCCCGCGACTTCATCCGCGTAGAATTAAACATTATTTTTCTAAAATAAAAGTAGACTAAAGAACTAAAAATTATTATGTTCGTCTTAATTTATTCGTTCCATTAGGTACTGATAGGTTCAAACTAATACATTTACATCCTGCATCATCCCTTATTTTATCTCCATGGAGGTTGAATTTATTAAAATCGTCTTCATCATAGTAGCTCCAATCTTTAATTTCAGTTCAATCAGTCGAAAATCTAAGAAGATCTCCTATTTTATCCCCTTAGGGGTGGAATTTATCAAAATCCTTTCTTAGGGGATGCCTACGCCATAGTAGCGTTATGCATGAAGATTTCAGCCCGATCGGTTTAAAATTGACAAACTTTCATCCCCTATTTTATCCCCTTGAGGGTAGAATTAATCAAAATCCTTTCTTAGCGGATGCCTACGTCATAACATCTATCTGCATGCCAAATATCAGCCCGATCCGTCCAGTGGTTTGGGCTGTGCGTTGATAGATCACTATATCAGTCACCTTTGATTTATATTTAGATGTAACAAAAAGAAATATGTCAATAAATATAATAATAAAATTCAAAAATAGTATGAAACTTATCAAAGAGTTCGCTACAAACAGTACATTGATTTTTAGCTGGTTCAGGTTTAATATCACTATTATGGTCAGGTGGAAAAAGTCGCGGGTAAAAAGTAAGTTTATTATACATATCATGTATGAAACTTTGTCCGCGTTATGCACGGCACTAGTGTCAGTGATCGGTTTAAAATTGACAATGTTATCAAAGATATATATCATCCGATATTTTACCAGTAGAATGATATGACATATTTATTAGCGGATAATCGTCATAACATGACACCAGAAAAATGTAGATTGTCGGTTTAAAATGTGCGTTGATAGATCACTATGTCACCATTGATTTATATTTAGATGTCAGTATTATGGTCAGGTGGAAAATGTCGCTGGTAAAAGTAAGTTTATTATCACATGCAATGTTCGCCTTAAGTGTTGTTCACACGGCACTAGTGTCGTGTGCAAAAAGGCTTTTCAATTTCTATTATCAAAGATATATATCAAGCGATATTTGTTACCAGTAAGTGATATGACATATTTATTAATAATCGCTCTACATGACACCAGAAAAATGTAGATTGTCGGTAAAATAGTTTATGCGATATCTTGTTGATTCTTGCTTCATTTTCATGTGGTGACCGCAAAGACAATGTTTTTTTTTATACTAGCTGTACTCGCGACTACGTCCACGTAGAATTAAACTTTATTTTTCTAAAATTTTCTTTTTTCTTTCTTAAGTTTCTTGGCACAACCTGTGGTTGACTGGTAGAAAATGCCGTAAGACGTTAACTCTGCCTTATGTAGTTTTACCTTGGTATTTTGTGCATTAAAGTTATATAAATAAAAAAATTTTTCTAAAATAAAAGTAGTTACTCCTTATTACAGCAGCTACCTAACAAAAAAAGTCCCGTCAAAATCGGTCCGAAGCTAGCCGGAATAAACATACAGATAAACAGACAAAAATAGTAAAAAATGTTATGTATTTTGGTGTATGTACCATATTTATATTCGTGTATATGTAGTAAAAACAGTTATTTCAATATTACAAACAGACACTCCAATTTCATTTATATCTACATATAGATTTTACTGGCTGACCCCGTAAACGTTGTTTTGCCAAATAAATGAAAAAATAGAGCTTGATAATAAAAGGATGAACATTTGGGGATGTATGTTTTTTTAATGTCACATTATAAAAAAAAGTCATAAAAATTTAAAAAATGTTATTGGTGGGCAACCCTTATCACTTAAGGGTATGAAAAATATATAGTAGCCGATTCTCAGACCTACAGAAAATACATATAAAATAACATAAAAATCGGTCAAGCCGAGGAGTATAGTAAGTAGTACCTAACTAACATTGTGACAAGAGAATTTTATATATAAGATTGTTTTCTATATAACTATGTTAATTCTCAAAGTTAATATATTTATATCGCAATACATTAAATATACAATATCAAGTTGCTTATAAAAAATATAATTATTAAAAAAAGTTAAGAAAAATAGTTTCTCACAATTACAGTTTTGGAAACATTTAAACAAGTAGTGACATCTAGCGGTGAATAGTAATTCACAGTTAGTTCTATGCTTCTGGAGTTGAAGTTATGTTTCTGCTTTGTAACGTTAGATGGCAGATTACATCTCATCTCTAAATTGAAGCGAATAAATACTTTACGTAATTATTGTAAACAGATTTTGATCGATTCCTAACTGTCTTATTCAACGATTGAGTCTGTACTCAAAGAAATGTACGGAGTTAAAAGTTTAAAAAAATCTGCCGAAGTCCTTGTAAGACACTTAGTTAAATAACAAGTAAAGTTACTTACTTGTTACTTAGTTAAGTATGTTTAGACGGCTGAACGAAGGACATAAAAGACATAGTAGTCAGTTTGAAACTGATGAAATAGAAATAATCGTTATTTCAATAAACTC